TTTACTGTTTGGATCTGTCACCGAATAAAACGATTGGAAAAACCCCACTGACTGTGTGTTGCTAGGGAATGCATGGAGCTCTTTGAGAAACATGTCAAACGAAGAAGCACTGACAAACTATGTCGAGGACATCCAGCTGGTGCGTCCTTTGTTAGCGAATAAAGGCCGAGGAGTGGAGACGGATGACAGACAGACAGACAGACATTCTCTTCTTATAAAGTTGTTCACGGTGCTAATATATATATATATATATTATCTTGCTATCAGAGATCTTTTCTAGACCTTATTTTGTTTCCCACAGTTTTTTTTGCGTTGTTTGTCCCAAGAAATATTTTGTTTTTTAACTTGCTTCTAGTTTACACATATGTAGCTGTTCTTCTTCGCAACTTTGGCATTAAACGATTGCTATCTCACAGCACTGGTATCCTGCTGTTTGCCTTAAATTGTATTGGGATAGATATTGAAAACTGGCTTAATATGGCGCAGCCCCATATTGAATATTTTTTTACCAGTCACCACGGCCAAATGCTTAGGCCTCTGTTTGCTCGATGGCTTTTCCAGCTGCATAGGAGAAGGTGAACATAATAATAATAATATTAATAATAACAACAATAATAATAATAATAATAATAATAATAATAATAATAATAATAATAATTTGTTAAAATTGTTTAACATATAAATAATTTAAATGTATTATGCTTGAATTTCTATTGGTTATTCCAATATTGCAAATGTTCTATTTTATTTCTATTTATTTTTCTAATTATTCATCAAATTTGTAAGAAAAAAAAAAAAAGGTGTCTGAAACCCACACCTAAACATCCAACTGCTTTCGACTCTCTGTTCTATATTCATTTACTTACAAAAAAAGGTTTGTTCACAGCTTCCCCCGTATTAATGTTTGACAGCCCCTGCAAACATTTACTGGCTTCTGTTGCACTTAATCATGTGAGTGTGAACTCTGTAAATTCCCAAACTGATGTCTGTAAATTCCTAAACTTATTTCCTGTAAGTGGTCAACTTGAGTACCTGGACCAGGTACCCAACATGACCTAGTCTTTTTTAGTGCTTAACAAGCCCCTTTAAAGACGCACAGTAATGACTGAAATCCATCAATGTATGTAGTGGTACGCATTTTTGTTAGGATTTCAGTTATACTTTTACAAAAAAATTTCCCGACTTTTACTATATTAATAATTCAATCATTTGGATTACTTCCTCTCTTTCACTCTTGCCATTCCCATTAAAGTATTTAAAGCAACTTGTGTTTTTAAGCCATTGTATTAAGCCTGACATATGATAATACTGACCAAAATCCACTGATTCAATAAAAGCTAAATTTCGAGTTACACTTTTGTATAATTTTCTTCACATTTTTTCTTAATTAATAATTCCATCATTAGGGTTAGCAGCAATAAAACACATTTAACTGCTGCTATTTGTCTTTCTGTTCCAGCAATAGTATACTACACAGAATAACAATGAGTACTTATATATACTTACGAATGTTTATTTTATAAAAATGTACGTTTCGATAAACGGACCATTTTGTCTTTTCTTAATATCCAGCACGAACATATTTTTGTGTTACACTTCCGCCGGTCAAGTATCATCCGGTTCTGTTTCGGCTGCGTTAGTGAAGTCCTTAGAAGGAGAGTATTGAAAGTCGACGAGTTAATAGTCGAACAAGAGTGTGACTGTGGTGACGTTTAAGCAGCGTATCGAGCGCCTGGCTCCGCTAACTGCGAACATGTTTTCCTTGACGGTGACGGTCCAGCCACAGGTGAAACAGCAGGGCTTAGCAGGCCAAGCTAATAACATTAGCATCGCTGTTTTGTTTTCTCTTTAGATGAACTGCGTCCGTGTGTTGAGTATTATTTATGGAATATTTTTATGGAATATTTGGAAGTAGAAAAAAATATATATACGTATGTTAGGACTGGAACTTTGAACATTATACTACTATCGTGATAGTTGACTAAAAGCTTAATTTAGACTTTTTTATGTTACTAAACTAGGACTGTCCATGTTTGTAGTTGTTTGTAATTCCTTGTTTGTTTGGTTTTTTTTTTTTTTTATTTTAGATGACCGTACCTCTTGGTCACCTTATCAACGTACTTCACTCGTTAAAAAGCTCAGTGGGATCAAGCAGTGTGTCCTGCCAGCCAAGAAAACACAAGGAGCATCTGTCAAACACACAACTACCCCGTAGAGAGGTACGCAGTTCAGTGGCGAGAGTGTACAGCGTAGGAGTTGAATCAACAATGGAATTTTTTTTTAAATTGACTAGACTTAAAATAACATTTTTGACTACAACTACAATGCTAAAAGTTGTAAAAAAAACATTCTCCTTCGTTTTGTGCAGCCTATATGTCACCTGCAGGAACTTGGATTATCAGAGGTCGGACCTCAAAAGTTGGACGAGATTGTAAACAGTATGTTACCTAACCTAGGCCTGCAGAACCTTCCCAGTCTACCAGGTGATCAGACTCCGTGGAGAACCTCACATAAGTCTACCCACTCGTTTTTTCACAACAAAAATGGTAAGAATGTATACACATGTTATTAACTACTACTACCGCGATTGTTGTACTTTCTATCAGATTATGACAGGGCTAAACTTGTAATACTCAATGGTGACAAGGTTACAGTAAATGTTAAACATCATTTGTTACATGGCTAGAACAGGCATGGGCAAACTAAGGCCCGCGGCGCGGATGCGGCCCATTCAGTTTTTTTAATCCAGGCTTTATTTAAATTATCATTGTACTTCTGCCTTTTCCCTGCAATACCCACGTTTCCCCAATAGATGGCGTGGAAAATGGAAAAAAAAAAAAAACATTTTAGCCTTTATGCATGACCTTTACATGTTTTACTTTACATTTTGTTTTACATTATCTTAGTTCACACGAGCGAATGAGTTGCTGCCACCTAGTGGTTTGTACAGAAAAATATACACGTTATTAGGGGTGTGTAAAAAAAAAAACCAAAACATTTCTGTCCTAAAATGATGACATGACAGAAAAATAATTGAGAAACCGCTGCTTCAGTGTCATCTGTGTTTATACAGTGCGTAACAAAACGCTCCTTTGCTCTATTCCCAGGATGCCCTTCTGTTAAATTACCAAGGTTGACCCAAGGTTTTTCACGACAACATTTGCCACTACAGCACGTCTGCACAGAGCTCCAGCATACGTCGAGTTACTGTAAGTTTTTTCTCCAGCATACGTCGAGTTACTGTAAGTCTTTTCGTTGTATTCAATTGACAAAAAAATAAATAAAAAAAATTTGATTTTAGTTCTGTGTTAATAATCAAGTTAGACATTTTTGTTTATGTAAAAAAGACTTGATTGTAGGACGCCTAATGAGACACTATGGTTGGCTATACTGTGAGAGCTCTGTTCTTTGGTTGGGCTTTGTACTAACTTGTTTTTACTCCATATATATTTTTTTTTCTAAGTGTCGCTCCAGATCAGGGGGTTTAAAACTTTAAGAAACAAAACCCGACGCCTGCAGTCACGCCCTGTGGAATCTGAGGGGTTCGCACCAAGTTTTATGAAGGTCCGTTCCTGATGATGTGTACAGTATAACGTGCTCAATGTATTTTTTTAAAATAAAAAAAAAATACATTTTTTTTTATTATTATTAAAATTGATTATGAACGTGAGATAACCAGTTACAGTGTTTGTCAATTTTAAATCTTTTAAATCTCGCTCATCGTTCTTTCCTGTTCCTGTAGGGTTTGCTTTCGCGTAACAAGGGGGTCGATCTGGAATTCGTGGAGAATCTGTTGAAGAACAAGAACGTCCCTAACGGTCAACAGGATACCTTTAAGAGGGGCTTCGCAGAGGGGTTCCTGAAAGCTCAAGCCTTGACGCAACGTACACAAGGCAAGGGGCAAAAAACATGAAACAATAATAAGTCGTTTTAACTTAACTGCAAGTATTGACTCTTTTTTTTAATTTTCTTTTTAAAGAATCTCTGAGGAGGACTCGTTTCATCCTGCTGGCACTTCTCCTTATCGGGCTTTATGGTATCTCCAAAACACCATTCCTATCAGGTAACGCAGAGCACAAAAATAATTGATAGTTAATTTGAACTATGAAATTATTGAGTCGTGATTTCTTTCGCCACGTAACGCGAAAATGTGAAACTCAAACCCTTTTTTGCTTTTTGGATAGTACGGTTTCGAGCCACATCAGGCCTGGATTCGCCCGTTGACCCTGTCCTTCTCAAGAATGTCAACTTTGAACACGTCAAAGGTATAGAAGAGGCCAAAAACGAGCTGCAGGATGTGGTGGAGTTCCTGAAAAACCCACAGAAGTTCACAACACTTGGAGGAAAGCTGCCTAAAGGTGAAACTCTCCTTCTCGTAAATCTTTCTCGTAAAATCATGGGGTGTCAGTTTATATTTATATTTTTTCATTTTACCTTCTTTAGGAGTTCTCCTGGTGGGACCCCCAGGCACTGGAAAGACCCTGCTGGCCAGAGCTGTAGCTGGAGAGGCTAACGTCCCCTTCTACTATGCCTCCGGGTCGGAATTTGACGAGATGTTTGTCGGAGTTGGAGCCAGTCGAATCCGCAACCTTTTCAGTGCGTTTATAATTATTTGGTTTTTGTTCAAAATTTTTTTAATCTTATATCCACAGATAATCCTCTAAAACTGAGATGAAGTCTCGAGCCAAACTTAAATTTTTTTTGAAAAATTTATGACAATTCTTCATGTTTTCTCAACTCTCCAGATCTGTAATGTAGAATATTTTTCCTATGGAAACAAACTTAAGTTTTGCATCAAAATTGAATCGAACAACCAAAGGATAATATTATAAACAAATCGGAAAAAAAGTAGTTTATTTCGTTTATTTCGTTTATTATTTATTTTTACTATAATAGTAGTATTTGTTTCTTATTATGTCTCTTTATCTGCAGCCTTTGGAGTTTTCTTTTTTTTTTTAATGAACTCACAGGCCAACAACAAAACAAAACACACAAAATGTATGTGCTGTCACTTAGCGCGTACGCCGCTAATGCTACAAATCCTGTAGCATTAGCGGCATATGAGCTCGTGGGCCAAATATAATTACACCGCGGGCCAGATTTGGACCCCCGGGCCTTAGTTTGACACATGCATGTAAAGTAAGTTCAAAAACAGCTCTCAGGGTCTGTCAATAGTGGCAGTTTTAATGCGACACTTTTATACAGTGTGTTTTGGCTGACAAATAAGCCAATAATCTCATAGATAATAAATTATTTTTTCTTTGTCCCACATGTTCTCATGGTCGTCATATTTGTGTTCCCAAGAGCGCCAAATATTTGCAGAGGTGATATAGCGTGTGAAACTGTTAGCGAATGGGATATGACTGTTATTTATTCATTTATTTATAGGGGAGGCTAAAGCCAATGCTCCCTGTGTGATCTTCATTGATGAATTGGACAGTGTGGGTGGAAAAAGGATCGAGTCTCCCATCCATCCTTACTCCAGACAGACTATCAACCAGCTTCTTGCTGAGATGGACGGGTAACCTGTTCATTTCCGTGCTATATTAAAACAGTTGGGTGTGTTCAAAGCATTACGTCATTGTAAATTTTTTTTTTTTTTTTTTTTTCTAAACGCAGGTTTAAACCAAATGAAGGTGTGATCATCATTGGAGCAACGAACTTTCCCGAAGCTTTGGATAAGTATGTTTTGATCTTGTACCAAGTTGTACACTGACTCAGTGTTAAGTCACTTTTAGACTAATAATCTCACGTGTCAAACTCAGGCCCGGGGGCCAAATCTGGCCCACGGTGTAATTATATTTGGCCCGTGAGATCATATCAAATGTGTACTAGAGTTGGATTTTGTAGAATTTTTTTTTTTTTTTTTTGGTCTGTGAAAAAAAAAAATTTACATTAAAAAGAAACTTTTTTTTTTTTTTTTTTTGGTTTTACACAAAATTAAAGTTTTTTTTTTCCATATGGAAAAATTCTACACTACATATCTGGAGAGAAGGTAAAACATGCTCAATCGCCATCAGTTTTTCAATAAATATTAAGTTTGAATTTGAGTTTGACACCCCTGTTTTTTAGCTTTTGTCTAAATCCCGCCCCCCTAATCCGCGGTTCTTGCTTTTCCTGTCCTTTCACGTTCTGTTTCACATTCACGTTGTCGGTATTTTCAATAATGAACTCGCGTGTCCTTCCAGCGCTCTGATCCGTCCAGGACGTTTTGACATGCAGGTGACTGTCCCTAAACCAGATGTAAAAGGACGCACAGAGATCATCAACTGGTACCTGGACAAGATCGTAGTGGATCCAGGTCTGGAAGAATTAGTGCCTTCGAGTATTTATTTGTCGTGGTCGAGAGGTGTCTGCGGCGCGGGAACGTAAACGATGAAGTGCTGCTTGTATTTTTATCTGTGCAGCTATTGAAGCCAGTATCATAGCCCGAGGCACTGTGGGCTTCTCTGGAGCCGATCTGGAAAATCTGGTCAACCAGGCGGCCCTGAAGGCAGCAGTCGATGGCAAAGACATGGTCACTATGAAGGAGCTTGAATTTGCTAAAGATAAACTACTCATGGGTGAGTAAAAAGCTGACGCAAAATTAAATATATCCGAATATTTCTTCATAAAATCCACCTCTTTTCCTCTTCCTTAAGGCCCCGAGAGGAGGAGTGCAGAAATAGACAAAAAGAACAAGCTGATCACGGCGTATCATGAATCAGGCCACGCCATCGTAGCGTATTACACCAAAGACGCCATGCCCATCAATAAGGCTACGATCATGCCCAGAGGACCAAGTCTGGGACATGTAAGAAAACCGTTAACTTGTAAACCTCGTTTCTTGATCTTACTTACTCATACTATCCTAGGTATGTTGTTTTTTTTTCCCCCCCGTCTACAGGTGTCTATGCTTCCGGAAAATGATCGCTGGAATGAGACCCGTTCGCAGTTACTGGCCCAGATGGATGTTAGCATGGGTGGACGTGTAGCGGAAGAGATAATGTTCGGTCAGGACTACATCACAACCGGTAGTCAGCGATTTCTTGACGTGCGGTTGACGCGTTCCTTCTGTCCAACTGTATTTGTCAGTGGTTTTTGATGTGTGCGTCCTCAATTTCCGTCTTCCGTAGGAGCATCGAGTGACTTCGACAGCGCCACTGGCATTGCCAAATTGATGGTGACCAGATTTGGCATGTGTAAAAACGTAGGTGATCCCACAGCCTTTTGAAAAAAGCCCAGAATATGTCAGGTGATCCCACAGCCTTTTGAAAAAAGGCCAGAATATGTCATATAGTATACAGTGTTCCCTTCTCTATATCGCAGATTTTTTTTTTAAATCCGAAATTTTCCCTTACTCGTATAAACGTTTTGGCTTGAAAAACGTGGATTCTCGTATTGAAGGATCGCTCACACTGATTGGCTCATGCATCGTAGCATCTCTCCCAGCTACCGCGACAGGAGAGGGACCACTGTATAGGGATTCACATCTTAATAAGCCCCTTTTTTCACTCTTTCAGCTTGGGGTGATGACGTACGCAGACATGTCAAAACAAAGTCCCGAGACTCAAGCTGCGGTAGAGCAAGAAATTAGGGCGCTGCTAAAGGTTTGTGCGACCTCTGAGCTTATAGACTGGACTTCAAAGCCCACTCCCGACTCTGTTAAAATATATCCTCATCGTTGTTTTTTTTTTTTTTTCTTCTCCAGGAGTCTTATGAGCGTGCAAAAGCGCTGCTGAAATCACACGCCAGGGAACACAAGAGGCTGGCAGAGGCTCTGCTTGAATATGAAACGCTGGACGCCAAAGAAATCCAGCTGGTCCTGAAAGGCAAGACTCTAGAGTCAAGATAAGAAAAAAATAATACATTTCAATCCTAGAAAGCCGTCCGGACCTCTGGGGGGGGCGGAATAGACTACTTGGCAGCACGTCCCAGTGCCGCATTTTCCGGACGTCGCCGATGTCGCACTTTTATTTTTTCGTCCTTGGACTGGGTTTGCGACTTACGCTCAGGTGCGACTTGTGTATTTAAAATATATAATTTCACTTGTTTGTTATTTTCACACTGATGGCCACTAGAGGGCTCTCTAGGCTTGTGTGCCAGTATCTGCTACTCTTGTAAAATTTTACGTTTCTTATTTTCACATTGACAGCAGCTAGGTGGCACTGGTGCGACTTACAGTATATGGAGGTTTGCTAACACAACAGGTTGAAGTGATATTTTAAGTACTGTTTAGGATACTGCTCAGGTCACTGGTGTTATAAGAAATAAATGAAAATAAATTGTACAGTACGCTGCCTGAGGGCGGCCTCTTGGTAGAAATGTCCCCGTGGGTGTGTGTTTATTTTTCTGTTCAGGTAACGGCTGTAAAGACTAAAACTGCGGTCTCTCGGAACTTTGAATATAGGTGAACACATTCTAGTTTCATGTGCGCAACATTGCTGTTATTTATTTCGTGATTGCTGTGCGTGTACAGGCTGAGCTTTTCACTGGGTTCTTTGCAATTGAACGATTTGTCTAAATTTTTTTTTTAAATCTTCCAATTGTTTTTTTTTTGTGCATACATTTCCTTCTCTCTTTCTCTCTTCTTTGTTTTCAGTATCTTATTCATAAATATATGTATATATTTATACATATATGTATAAATATATATATGCATATATATATATATTTATACATATATGTATATATACTATCTCATTCATAAATATATGTATATATTTATACACATATGTATAAATATATATATATATGCATATATTTATACATATATGTATACATATATTTATGAATGAGATACTATATATACATATATGTATAAATATATATATATATGCATATATATGAATACATACATGTGTGTAAGTATTACTGTATATGGCTAACATGTGAAAATCCGAATGGAAAAAAATGAAGATGCTTGATTAATGTGAAGCTAAAAAAAGACCAAGTGAGGCTGCAATAATAAACGTAAACATATAGCGTGTGTATTGATCAGGGTGTGTTTATTTACATTGCAAAAGGATATAAATCCCGTCGTGGTGACAAAAGCAACTATTTACACTCGCGCATGTTCCTGTGATTGATTCAAAAGCACATTTTCAGCGTTCATAGTTTCATTAAAATGTCAGCTTTTGATTTGGAAATTTTACAAAGGAAATATTACCTTACGCGTATTTACTGTATAAAAAAAAACCCAACAACCTAATATTAGTGCAATACTTCTCATATAGTGGCTTGACAACATGCTTGAAACATCTCATTTAACAGCATTTCTTAGGGAGTTGAAACATGGTCAAAAACACCGGGATGAACACCAGGCCGTGCAGCAACCCGAATAGGATGACCAGAAATACAATCTTGAAGAACGTCCTAAAGATGTAGCTCCCAGAGGTCGACAGCACCACCACTCCTAAAATGGTGGACACAGCTCCCTGTAGAACGGGATACCCCAGTTGCGACAACGCGTCGATGGCTTTCCGGTTAGCGCTCGTCTCGCGACTGCACACAAAGGCGTAAGAAATGTGAGCCGAAAAATCCACCGAGAAACCAATGCTCATGACCAGGTTGATCATGGAAATCGAGTCGAGGTTCACGTCCCAAAGCGTCATGAACCCGCACAGGCCAACCACCACGGAACAAATTGAAAAAGCCACCAGAACGGCGCTGATGAGACTCGGTATGAGGAGAAGCGAGATGACGAGCATTACTATCGCGGCAATGACAATGGTCTGGATAGTGTTTTCCACAATAACGGTGTACTGGTCGTAGTAGATAAAAGAGGGATGATAGACCAGGAGCGATTTGTTACATTTGTCTGCCGTGATTCTCAGGTCGGTCATGATGACCTCGACCTTCTCATTGTTTAGGGTCTGAACGAAAAAGCGAGACGCAATAATCTTGCCGTCTGAAGTGTTTATGTTTATGTCCTGTCTGAACACTGGAAGAATTTCTAAGAACATTTCCAGGTGTTTGCGATAGTCCTTCTCATTATCTATGGGCCATTTCTGTGCACGTGCAACCTCTTCAAAAGTATCAAACCAAGCAGATGTATTCTGAAAATAGGTCAATTGTTCAAAATCTGAAATGCACGATTTGAGAGCTTTCATCTCTCCCTCGTCCCAGTAACTGATGGGCTCTTTCACTGCCACCATGACGTTGCTGCTAAACACGGAAAGAAACTGCTCCTCGTCGTCGTAGTATTTAACGATGTAGGAATCATCTAAAGCCAGATTTCTGATGTCGAGTCCCTGTTCTAAGATCCAGCAGCCATAAATACTGCCACCTAGATATGCGCAGTATAAAAAAAATACAAACACTTTGGTCAGATTTTGGGTTAGAAATGGGCCGTAATACTTGTCGAACATGTCGCTCGTTATTCCGGTTTCGTCCTGCTTGGGGGGTCTAGCGCTTCTTTTTTCGAAACCTCTGTTCTTTTTAGGGATTTTGCCAACGCTCATATCAAAATCGCACACGCTGGAAGCAGCGCTGACGGCCGGAGAGACTGCGGAGACGACGGCGCACGTGAACCAGTGCTTGTTCTGTTCTTCCCTCTGTCCATTCAGAGCCATGCAAGCTCCCAGGAAAGTGACGCTGTATAAATAACAGAACATAACACAAGTGCCGGCATAGAGACAAAATGACCGGACGGAGCCGAAGGGTGTGATACAGCCGAGAAAGAGAGCCAAAGCGTCAGTCAGTGAAGTGATGGTGATGGAGACGGCTGCGTCCTTGTAGGTGTGACCCAAGCGGGCTGGAACCCTGTCCTTAACATTGGTCCTCTGCCAACCGGCGATCATAATAAACATGTCATCGACTCCAATGCCTGGAAATTAAAAGACAAGATTAGTTTTAAATACAGTAAATTCCCCCGTGAGCCCCGTCAGGAGCAACGCCATTTTGTAAATAGTTTAGTGAGGATAGTTGTCCATTTTAAAGGGAACTCAATGTATCCCACAATGCACTTCGAAATGCAGTGTACGTCCGATGTAGGTGAGTCCACCATATGGTGTACTATCTATCATATCTATGTCGCGCCGGAGTATGAGTCGCACTAGCTAGCTGTCAGTGTGAACATAACGAACATGTACATTGTCAGTGGCACAGGAGTAGCAGATACTAGTACAGGAGCCTAGAGTGCCCTCTAGTGGCTGTCAGTGTGAAAATAACGAACATGTGCAATTTTCAGTGGTACAGGAGTAGCAGATACTGGTACGCAAACCTAGAGTGCCCTCTAGTGGCTGTCAGTGTGAACATAACGAACATGTACATTGTCAGTGGCACAGGAGTAGCAGATACTAGTACAGGAGCCTAGAGCGCCCTCTAGCGGTTGTCAATGTGAAAAATAACAAACACGTGAAATTAAATATTTTCATATATAAGGATGAAATAAAGTGCGTCTTATAGTCCGGAAAACACTTTTTTTTTTTTTTTTCTTTCAGATTTACTTATCTAAGTTTATTCATGTTAATAATAATTAGTACAGTACCTTAATGAGAACTCGTTGTTCAGAGCGTTTTCGAGCTACACCACCTACCTAATATCATGAAAGGGCAGGAAGCTGCAGTCATAACAAAAGGTTGGTCCAGCAGTAACAAAAGTCCAAAGCCGCTCAGGACGGCAAGACCTGTTGACAGCACGCCACTCGTTGCCACCCACACCTTGGTCCGTACATTGTCCAACCTGACGAAAACTCAGGAGAACACCAACATTCAGTTGCACATCATAAAAAAATCAGTCTGTATTATAATTAATCAATACATGCAAAAATAATACTTTTATATTTTTTTTTTTTTTTTTTTTACAAACCGCCAGCATGTTGCAATGGAGAAAGTAATAACGATGGCGTAGGTGATGGAAAATAAGGAAATCACAGCGTCGGGTGATTTTTCGAATTCCCATTGAAGTGACCTGGAGGTGGTGTAAGAAACCTTCCGAAATGAAAAAAAAAAAAAAAAAAAGTTAAATGCTATTCTATAGTTTCACGTCCCATCATGCTGAAGCATGGGCCGCTTGCCAAAAAAAACAAAAACCAAAAAAAAAAAAAAAATTCAAGAAAGCGTTTACCATAATAAATAAGATTACAAGTACAATATGGCCTTATTGTACATCTTAAGTTTTAGGAAGTTAAAAGATAGTAAATTGATTACATTGTAGGCCATAAAATAGCTAATCTTATTTCGCCCGAACCGCGATATCGGCCTGACTCAGTGATTCACTGCTCCTTTTTAAGGGTTTTAAAGTTCACACATGGCGCTTAGGTAATTATAATATGAGGGTAATTATGTATATGTAAATATGGTAGCTTACATGTAACCAGATTTTGAAGGGGTTACTCCTGAAAGTTAGCTTTGAAATATTCTACAATAATACAGAGGCTACAGACTATTTATTTTCCCCCAAAACAAACCAGTCATAAACGTTGCACACAATACCCGTGATAGCCCACATACTTACATTTGTTGTTTGTTGTTCGTCTATCAGTTCAATGAACCCTTCCAACCACAGATCTGCTTGCGTTTCGTTGTCATCTTTTAAGTAGTAAAAAAGCTGGATGGCCTTGGCCCTTTCCACAACATTGGAATTTTCTTTTAATTTCACGTTGCCCAAACCTAAATACAAAGGGATTGAGTGATGCCACGGGTACATTAACTTGAGCTCTGAGATGCTGCTGGCATCGTTCTCAATGATATCCAAAATATCGTTGGTCATGCAAGTCTTATCGATTACAGCACAGATATCCTTATATTGGAGTTGGTGACCATCAGGCCCAACCATCGTCAGCCTAATTTTCGAGTCCAGGTCAAGGACTGCCGTCAGTGCGTCAACTGTGAGGATGTTTTCTTCATGCGATACTATTACTGTTGCGTAACTCCCGAGTGTACTCAGCCTCAGACGTGAAAACGTGCTATCGTTCTCCGGAAATGTCTCTTGGATGTATCTCCTCTCGTCCTTGGCTCGCCCGTCGAAGGGCGTAAACTGTTCTTCGATGTCGTTGGACAACCTCCCCTGGAGAAAATAAAAGCCGCTGCCCAGACCTGCCGAGAGGATGAGCGGAGTGATCAGGAACCACACGGGGTGATAGCCGATAAATTCACCCAGCTTCTCGAAACCCCTGCTCAGGAGTTTCTCAAGGCAGTCCGTGCGGACCATTGTTGCACCTTGCCCCCTCGCTCGCGATGTGCTGCTGTTTGAAGGAACACGCTCCGCTGCTCCTCGTCAAATGTCACAAGGCCACTCTGAAACCATCCGCTGTGGACTTCCTTCTCTGTGTCCCATCCTCCTGATTACATAGTCTCTAGACAGGCTTCGTTTGTTCTATAAACAGAAGAGGGGGGATGTTACGGAGTTGACCGTAACCTGCTTTAGCTTCCTTATTGACTTCGGTGGAATTACCTGCATGTATTTTTTTTTAATGATTACACCGAGGGCAAAGTCTGTCTATTTTGTTTCCTTATCAACACGTTGGCATCGTCACATGTTCCCTCGGTTTTTTTGTTTTTTTTTTTACGACTATTAATGATGCAGTGAGGTCTTCTTATCTCTGTCTGAATAATAAAGACTGCAGTGAGAGCGTTCGTGTGAGGTACATAGTTTGCTGCCCTACTAATTTATTTAACCCCCCTGTAGTTTGACTTTCTTTTTTTTTTTTTTTTTTAGAAACGATAAGATAGTGTGACATATAAATCCATATAAATGACACCGGCAAGTTTGGATGGCAAATTATAGTTGTTCTTCCTTATTGCGTAATGTTAAACAAAAATGAAAAAGCTAGTAAATAATTATACACTAAATAAAGTGGTGCAGTTACCAGATAACAGTGGTATGTAGTTGCACACATTTAAAGGAATTCGAATATGAATAATGTTCAATTTCAGACATTGTAAATTATAATTTATAGCAGGGATGTCAAACATACGGCCCGCGGACCAAAACCGACCCGCTTGGGGTTTCAATTTAAATTTTTTTTTTTAAAATAAAATGATTCACAAACACTTCATGTTCAGGAAATGTTTTGTAAAAAAAAATATTTCATTAAATATGACGATTTATATCGAATGTACTTTTTGCATTGTAAAAACTGACTTTTTGTTATTTGTAGGGAATGTTATGATTGTAATCGTGAGGCATTTCTGTTGTTTTTGTTCCAGTCATTTTACTATTAGTCTCACCTAGAAAAACTTCCGCCACAAATATTCAACTAATCTCCTTGGTGCACTGTGGCTCCTTGAATCCTTCGCACTTGTTGGTTACCGACAATGGTTACTTAGTGCTGAGAGACAAGTGACCCCTTGTTGGTTGGCTAACAGTCCTCGAGGCTGTTCCAAATGGATTCACTGTGAAATGATTTGAAACAAAGAGTCACTGTTCCTGTCTAATGATGGTCCGTTTAATTAAATGTACAATTAAATGGCTCTTTACAATTAGCTGTTTGGCTTACTGTGTCCTTTCTTGCCACAGATACACGTTTTACATGGGCATATGTACATATGTAAATTGGTAAAGTTTTAAGTTGTGTGTACTTAATTTTGATATTTATGCTTTCTGTCTGTTGTTTTTTCTTTCAAATTTCTCACTGCACAGGTGCTGGGCTAATTTGCCTTGGAATGTGTGTTTTATATTATATATTATATATTATATTAGCAATAAACCCCTCACAATTCACTTCAAAAAATGGTCTTCAAATAATGTTTTATTTATTAATTTATTTTTATCGAACTTATATGTGTTTGAAGAAAAAAATAAAATGTTAAAAAAAATTGTAACGATCAAAACGATATAACGATATATTATATATTATATTAGCAATATATTATATTAGCAATATAATAGCAATATATGCTATATTGCTAATATTATATTAGCAATATAGCAATATTAGCAAATTAGCAATAAACCCCTCACAATTCACTTCAAAAAATTGTCGTCAAATAATGTTTTATTTATTAATTTATTTTTATCAAACTTATATGTGTTTGAAGAAAAAAATAAAATGTTAAAAAAAAAAATTGTAACGATCAAAAACAATATTAAAACTGAGCATACGTGTATAGTAAGTCACAATACCAACCAAGTAGTACTAGTAAGAATAAACCAGATACACATATTTAAACGAAAATCAACTTAAATACGTAAAACAAAGTAAGTAGTCTCTACTGTAGTCTTTTTTTTTATTTTATTTTATTTTTCATCGACGTAGAACCTTCTACGTCATAGATATACCGGAAGTCGCGCTAGCAGCAGGCAAGCCTTAGAGCAAATAGCATTCTGCTTCCAAAACAAGTTATCATTTCTCAACGTTTCTGGGTCAAAAACGAACTAACTGCCATAGGAAAATGGACGACGACGTGTTGACAACTCTGAAGCTGTTAATAATTGGTGAAAGTGGAGTCGGGAAGTCAAGGTTTGTCGCTGTTAGCAAGTTGAACAGTTAGCCTGTTGTGAATGTGCAAACATTCGTTTGCTGTAACTTAATTCCTCGGTGTTAAGCAACTGCTGTAGCTGAAACCTGCTACTGGGATTGGGGTTTGTATTCAGGATTTTCTAGACAAAGAATTTATCGATTTTGTTAACCCGTTTTCATGGCGTGAGGCAGACGTACAGTAACTTTTTTTTTTTTACTGCGACAGTTTGGTAGGTATGGTATTTTATATAGAAGGCTGCTATTGTTGACATTACTGCTCTATTTTGCTGTGAACCTGTTTGCGTACCTTGGAAAACTGTATAAAAATATTTCTTAAACAACAAAGAAGCCATCAAATTAAGTCGTCGTGTTACATTGTATTGTATCAAACAATATTCTAATCATATGTTATATTGGGTTGTTTTCACAGTCTCCTGTTGAGGTTCACAGAGGACACCTTTGATCCAGAACAGACAGCCACAATAGGTATTACACACACAATCTACAAATATTAATTGTCTAGTCTGCATACACTTCAAATTTTTGTAAAAATCTTCTTATTCAATTTTCCTTTTTCCGTTATTAGGTGTGGATTTCAAAGTAAAAACACTCGCAATAGATGGAAACAAAGCAAAACTTGCAATATGGGTAAGTCTAAAGAGGTTTGAAGCTCCAACTCTTGACTTGTTTTTCAAGGAAAATATGATGGAGGCGTGCTCTGCAATGTCGCCGCAAGATGGCGACATTGCACAGCAAAAACTGCACAAAACAGTATGTACTTTACCAAAGAGCAGCTACATGCTTCAGCTTCATGCTTAAAAAAACCCCAGTTACCTTAATGGGGGAGGGAGGGGATTGTCCTTTGTCCTGTGATTACTTCTAATGAAATTATAGGTTTTACATTGCTTTAGTCACTTTTGTGTGTGTGCAACCTGGGATTTAGATTGTATTTCATACTTTTAAATAGTGTACAGTCACAGATATGCATCTCCTGTATCTACATGTCTGCAGGACACAGCTGGTCAGGAAAGATTTCGCACCCTGACTCCCAGCTACTACCGTGGAGCACAAGGAGTCATACTTGGTAAAAAATCAGACTTTACCAATATTGTTGTAAGAGTTTACATGGATGTTTAATGTCTGACGTGACTATAGATCAGTAAGTGAGGAACTATACCTTTCCTGGAGCATTTTGAATCTTGAGTGTTGAGGATTGTGCCTTACATAAACAAAAAGCCATGCATATTCCATCTTAATATGACACACCTTGTGGCCTTATCTCGTCTATTGAGTTACACAAAGGCCAAAAACATTGTAATTATTTAGCTAAATTTTATTCATTGTAATTCACTGTAGTCTGAAACTTTGTCAATGATGCAACGTGCACTGATATAACATATAGTGCAATTCTTGCACTATATATCTGTTTATTGTTAACTAGCACACTGTACTGTAATTTCCGGTCTATTAGCCGCTAATTTTTTCACACTTGAACCCTGCAGCTTAAATAATAATGTGGCTAATTTAAGGATTTTTACGGGCTAATGAAGTTCATACCGCTAGCGATCAATGACTTTTCTGGTAGACTACCGAAGCAGGTAGACTACCGAAGCGGGAAAGAGCTAACGTGTAACCAGCCGTGTTACAGGCAAAAAAAAAGTTTTCTTTGTGTAAATATCTCATGTTACAAGAGAAACGCACTCTATATATGTACAATTTTTTTTCTTTTAAAATTTAGTGGGTGCGGCTTATATTCAGGTGCGCTCAGTAGTCTGGAAATTACGGTATTTATCCCCCGGGTATATTTTTTCTTATATATTTTCTCACGTGATTGGTTTTATATTGCTGTGTTTGAATTATTTCTTTCAACTTATTCTTTTGATCTGTAGAATATATCCATAAAGCCAGTTTGATTTTTCTCCTTTTTTTTTTTTTCCTCTCATTCTCAGTGTATGATGTCACAAAACGTGACACTTTTATGAAGTTGGAAAACTGGCTGAACGAACTAGAAACCTACACCACACGTAATGACATTGTAAAAATGCTGGTAGGCAATAAAATTGATAAGGTGAGTCAATCCTTCCTCGTCGGTGCACTTGTTTAGTACGCAGTGCTGAGAAAACACGCAGAGAAATATAAAACCAAATGTCACTTTTCCTCTCTTTTAGGACGACCACGAGGTAAACAGAAACGAAGGCTTGAAGTTCGCTAGAAAACACTCCATGCTTTTCATCGGTAAGTATCTGCTATCGGACAAAAAAAGGCGCAGGCGGGTTCGTGTCGCAGCGCCCTGCAGTGTAATTGAATCACATTTAAAACATGCTGGACCGTGTTTAAATGTCAGCATGCTAATTGTTTAGCTGGAAGACTTAAGTAAGAGATGGTTTTTACTGCGTTCGTACCGTTCGTAAGGGAAAGCTACAGGTTACAGCCACTGAGAAAAAAAAAACTGAATTGTGATTTCAATCTAGTGGCCTTTCTCATACTGAAGTAAATGTCTCCACGTGTTCCCGATTGTCATCTGCACTCTGCCGCTCTTCGGGAAATTAGATTTGCTGTTCAGTGGAGTTTCCATTTTAAAAGAATGATTAATTTAAAAAAAAAAAAAAAAAAAAAAATCTTTTTGGATTAGAGTAATTTCTTACTCGATATTTTTTTTTAATCAACATATGGATATTTTAGCTCACCATAGCTCTAGATGTATGTTCACTGGCTGTTTTATTTAAAAGTTTTGGACACGATACATTTTTAGGTAATGGTTAAACTGTTATTTTTCTATATATATATATTTATATTTGTTGAGAAACAAAACTAAGCACAAAATGAGTCCAAAAGACCGGTTTGGTTGATGCTTCTTCATGTCCACTCTTAACACTCAGACATGGGCAAACTAAGGTCTGGGGGCCCCGATGCGGCCCGTTCAGCTTTTTAATCCTGCCCGCCAAACTTTTCCAAATTATATAATTTATTTATGTTATTATTATTATATTATTTTATATGATCATACTTCTGCCTTTTCCCTGCAATACCCATGTTCCCCCAGTAGATAGCGTAGAAAATACATTTTAGAATGTCGGCCTTTATGCATGACTTTTAACATGTCATTTATCTTAGTTTACATGAACGCTCCTGACCCCTCTACGAATTGAGATGTCTTTAGAATTACTTTTCTGACCCCTTTCGTCCAATCATATCTCTATGTATATTTTGTTTCTGTGTTGTTGTTTTTTTATTTTCCGTTTAATAAATAGATCACCAAATGTCAGATATTTGTTCTTTTTACATTTCTTCTCAGGAAATGGGCTTTTATCTTCATCACAATATGTTCATTCCTTTTTTTTTTTTTTGTACAGAGGCCAGTGCAAAAACCAAGGATGGCGTCCAGTGTGCCTTTGAAGAACTTGTTGAGAAAATCCTGCAGACTCCAGGGCTTTGGGAGAGTGAAAACCAGGGTCAAAGGTTCCAACTGGGAAGCCAAGAACAGACCAGAGGTAGAGCTTGTGGTGGATACTGTTCCGTTCCGTGAAAATGAAGCGAGATTTAAAAAAAAAAAAAAAAAGAAAAAGAAATGATTGGCCTGACAGGAATGACTACAGACAAGAACGGTAGATGACAAAAGACGGGGACGAGAGAGAGAGCGAGAGAGAGGTGTAGAAAGACGAGTGCTTTAAAGAAAGCGAAACGCGGGAGTAGTTCTGTTTGATCGAGTGAACTTTGCTCTTTTCTTGTTCATCTTCATCTCTCACTTTCCTCTCACTATCTATGGAAACCCTTAACGAAAAGGACCATACAAGAGCAGGTAGGATTTTTTTTTCTCGAACTCTTCCAGGTTCCCAAAAAATGTCTGCTTTGAATTAGTCTCGTAGGTGATGCAGTGATTCTGTTGTTTCTCGTGGCGTCAGATTAATGAAATAGTGCCTGTGACATGAAAGGCGGGTTACAGTCATCACCTGTCCAATTTGATATGCCATGATTAAGTAGGGAAAAGCTTTTCGACTTTATTCCAAGGCCTGAATTTGATTTGTTCCCAAAATCACCAACAAAATCAAATCATTCATACCCAGGGCCATGAACTCCGTCCGCAGAGAATTTTATCCAAATCCGTCCTATTCTTTTTTTTTTTTTAATTTTATTTTTACTCAAAAACTTGCCTGTATACAGGTTGTTCTGGGTGGAGTTCACTGTGATAAATGTGGAAGTCTGTGCAGTCGCTCGCTGCCAGAAGTAGTTTATCCTAATTATTCTGGACCTCCTCGTGTAGCGACACAAATGTACTGTGTGTGTATCTGCGGTCCGGGTTGAATGCGTGCTGCAACACTTTAACGTAGGACGGAGGTGATATTGAGGGCATTTTGCACGCGAACGCTGTGACGGACATTTCACATGTCAAAGCGGCGGCGCTTGTTGTGCTCTCGGCTCTCGCTCACTTTTGTCGCTTTTGTCAGACGTCTACGCCTCGAGACGTGTACGTTTCCAAGGGGACGCGTCACAAAAATGTAATTAAAAAAAAAAATACATATGTGTTTGTTTTCTTTATGTTTTATTATTTGACTACATTTGCAGAAATGCCGTTGCTTTGTGTACGGCATAGGAAAGCACCTGCGGCTCAGTACTGGTTGAGCAAAGAGATCCAAGTGCTTTTATTGATTTAACCTGCAGTAAATAATAAGCAAATCATACAAATAATATTTAATCTGACATGAATGTTGGGCTCAGGCAGCGAAACCGTATCTTTGTGCCGTGCACTTTTGTTGAAACTTAGGTCAGTTTGGTGGAACTTCACACGTATCCTCGCAGGAATTGATGAAAACTTTTTTTTTTAAATTTACATCAGCCAACCACTGCCACCTAGTGGAATAGCATTTATTTGTCACTGTCGGAAAAGTGGAGCTTCCACCGTACACTTGGTGATCTCAGGAGTATCAGGGGGTCTCAAAATGTGGATAAAAAATATTCCTAAAAAATAATTTCAACTTGAAAGCCTGGATGTATTTTGACGTCTGAGGAAATATATAATTATATATTGGTATATCATTATATATTTCCTCAGCACTTTTTGTGCCTATAACTTCAAAATACACTTTGGCATGATGCTAATCAGAATTAACTGTAAACGAAAAGTAGAATGTCTACCTGTCTACTCTTAATTATATGGCCACAAAAAAGGCACAAATTGGTCATATTTTGAATTTCGAAACCCGTAGTCTTCGTCTTCAGCGCTTACTCTGCAATCAGCGCGTCGTTATGGTCCACAGTTTCACAGTTATGACATAAACATTCCCATTTTCCTGTTTTCTACCCCACATTGTTGCTATTCTTTTTTTTTTGTTTTGTTTTGTGTTGATTGACCTTTTCCTCTGCTTTCGCCACTGCTTTTGTTTTCTCGGCGCCTGTTCGAATCGATACGCCGCGGTATGTCAACCTGATATCTGTCTTTTAACGCGGGATGACGGTGGTTTTGAACGTTTGCATTGTTTCAAAATGAAATAAACGAGTGCCTGCAGACGCTGTCGCTCACAGAACTGATGATTTGTTCCTCTTGAGACCTGTTCTTTGGCACGGTGCTGTGGTACCAGGTCGGAAATATCACCAAGCTGCTCCTCCGGTAACGGTGTCATCCTAGCACAGATGAAAGCATACTCTTTGTTGCGAGACGTGTTCAGTGAAATGTCCCAGAGGACAGTGTGATTACAAGGTTATGTTTGGTGTGAGGATGCGTTAAGATAGAAGATGCTTTTCATGCGTGACGTTCCCTGAATTGTAGGGCCTTTGGCCTTTTTTTTTTTTTTTGGAAGCTGATTTGTCATGAAAAAAAGGGGTAAAAAAAAAACACATCTGGCTGTTGTCACATGTTTGAGGACGGTAAAAGATTATTTGTTTCTAACAGGGGCAGTTTTTTTAAAAAAAGGTTGCAAGTAAGTACGGTATTTTCTGGACTATAAGTCGCTCTGGAGTATGAGTCGGCGGTGGGCAAACTAAGGCCCGGGGGGGCCGGAAATGGCCCGTTCAGCTTTTTAATCCGACCCACCAAACTTTTCCAAATTATATAATTTATTTTTATTGTCATTACACTTCTGTCTTTTCTCTCAATACCCACGTTTCCCCAATAGATGGCGTAGAAAGTACTAGAAGCATTTTAGCATCTAGGCCTTTATGCATGACTTTTACATGTCATTTATCTTAGCTCCATTTATTCGCTCCTGACTGAAATAACGGACATGGTAATTATAAGTGGATACGGGACTAGCTGATACTGGTACACAAGCCTAGAGTGCCCTCTAGTGGCTGTCAGTGTGAAAATATCAAACTTGTCAATTATAAGTGGTCCAGGAGTAGCTGACAGTGTGAAAATATCAAACATGTAAATTATAAGTGGAGTAGGTTTATTAAAGTTATCAAATGACTGTAGAAGAACTGTACATTTATTACAAGGGCACTTCCACCTCTGTCTGTTTTCTCTCGGCCACGTGTCCTCATGTCTTTAAACCAGTCCCTTGGGTTTTAACAGTTAATCACTGTCCGTCACGGTTGACACGCTTTGACAGTCTGGACCTCCGAGATGTGAGACGACTTTTGGATGATGCGACTGGTGAGGCCGGGCTCGGTGGCGCAGCGCGGCCACAGGGCGGAGGTGGACCCCGTGGCGCATGTCCTGCCGATGACTGTGGCTCTCGCTGTAGTGCGGGGCTCTCGAGGGCAGCACTGCCCCGCGGGAGTGTACGACAACACAACCCTGGCCTTGTCGTCCGGTGCTTGTCCCTGACCGTGGGCCAGACTGGTCAGAGCCACTGCGGCATGGATCTCCCTCCAGCCCTGGTGGCCTGGTCTCTGCTGCTCCCTGTGAAATGTGTTGAAGAAAACACAGCTGTTGAGTGACTGCAAAAATGTCCAATATTTGGATATTGGCTGGAAGGCAGTAAACGAGAGTACACTCACGTGTCACAGTTAGTTGGAGCGCCATCTACGGCGTCTGCAAAAGAGAGGGAAAAACGCATGTTAGCGTGTTGTAACGATTTGACTCGAGATTTGGGTTAGCTCGTTTCAGCGCAGTGTCGCGATTTTTGGCGTGTTTGTGCGTCACACTATGTTGACACATATTATTATTATTATTATATTCCCCAAACAAGTTGAGTATTCCTGTGAAGTTGGAAACTTTGCGCGAATCGTCTTGCAGTAAATAAGGATGGAATGTATAGATGAGGATATTTTTCCCTCGTCTATTTTCTTCTATTTCCTTGATTAACTATTTGTTTTTTTTTCATTTGCATCGTATTTTGAAAATATTTTGCGGAAGACTAAATACCTGAGATTTTAGTATTGACATTGCTTGACATATGGCAGTTCAGTGTGAGTGTGAGAGAGAACTATTTAACGTATTAAATTATATAATTTATTTATATTATCGGTATACTTTCCTGCAATTATCCTTTTTCCTGCAGTACCCACGTTTCCCCAATAGATGGCGTAGATAAATGATAAAAGCATTTTAGCCTTTATGCATGACTTTTACATATCATGTATCTTCTCACACGAATGAGTGTCAAACTCATTTTCACATTGTAACAGCAAGAATGTATAGATTAGGGATCCCCAACCCCTGGTCCGTGGACCAGTACCAGTACCATATGCCATTTACCGGTTACCAGGCTGCAGTAGGACACAGTGCAAAAATGTTACTTCAGTCAAAGAAAATCCAGTCATATCCAGTTACGTTCTTAAAATAATAGGACATTCAGACTTTAGATGCAAAGTCTAAAAGATGTTTTATTTTGAAAACACCTAGGACCTTGCTACAAAAAATGTTGGGGACTGCTGGTATAGATGGAACTTCTCCATAACAGACTAATACAGGCTACAAATATTGTTCGTTGCTGTGTAATAAAAAAAAAAAAAAACGTTTAATTTCTTAGGTTAAGAAACTCGGCGGGACGCATTTGGGCCCCAGGCCTTAGGTTTGACACATATGACCAGTGCATGGCATGGTTCAGATTTATTCAGTTGAAAATGTAAATATGAATTTTTTCCTGAGTACCACTAGAGAGCGCTCGCGTACCACCGGTGGAACGCGTACCACAGTTTGAGAACCACTGACCTTTTCCGATCTAATTAAAAATAAGTCGTCAAATAAGATGTATTATGCATGTGAGCAAAGGGTTTTTTTTTTATTATTAGGAATGTGAAACACGTCTGCTTCTCTCGAAAAGTTGAAAAGTGGGAAGAATTTCCATAACCTTTTCACAGCTCTGGTAATGTGATGTAAATGTCGATTTATTTTGAGCAAGAGAGTAAACACCCAGGAGAAACCAGCGGCCAAAATGTACATGAGTCAGAGAAACAAAAAAAAAAAATGTGTACGCTGTCGAACGCGAGCAAAGATTTTTCGTCTGGTGACCTCACTCTGCGTACTGCCACAGAGGTTAGCGGTAGCTCCGACAGTTACTCACTACAAGACATCTTCACTGCCACACTGACGGATAGCTCGGTTATTTTAAGGTTTTGGCGAAACGCTTCCTCCCGTCCCCCCGGGAAGAATAAAGTCTCAGACGTTGTGTAATTGTCCTTGAGACTGGACTGGACATTTCCACCATGGCAAGAAACTGAGGCGGAACAAATGGCAAATGCTCGTAAATGGAAATGATATTTGCGGTGTGCGGCAGCAGCAGCAGCAGCAGGCAGCATTGGCTACGTCCAAATTTTAAAAAATGAGCAATTTCAGAATCCGAAAGACTCTGAGTTATTTTAGCCGATTGATTAATAGCGATATTAATAATAATGACATTATTGTCATTATTATTATTATTAAAATAATATACATTTAAAAAAATATTATCATTATTTTAATAATTGTTAAATTATTAAAAATATTTTTAATAATAATGTAATAATAATAATATTATCATTATTGTTATTTATAATAAATAATATTAATATCGCAATTAAGTGATGATATATTTCAGCTGCTTCTCATGTGATACTTAGGACTATCTGATTCACTTAAGGCAGTTTTTAGCACATTGACTCGCATTTAGCATCGTCTCACTGTCTTTTTGAAGTGTTAGCTGTAGCGCCTAACTGATCCAGGGGGGCAACGTACGGCTGAAATGACAACAAAACCCACTCGAACTTGAACTCGAAAGTTAAGGCAAAAGTGGTCAGTCCAGAAAATAGCTCAGTTGATGCTAAAAAATTAAAAAAAAAGTGTTGCTAATATTTGTTAGAAGTCGGCCCTAAGTAGCTAAAGACGAGGATATTAGCGATAGCCTATCTTGCTGTCCCAGCCGAATAGGTCAGTTCCAAAATAATAATATGTCTGTATTATTGATAAAAAGTTAGTTTGTTTCTTCTCACCCATGTGGTAGACATAGTTTGCTTCTATGTCGAAGGATGACGCCGGAGACACCGCGTCCTGGTCGCACTCGTTCGAGCTAAACGATTCGGAGTCGCTCCTCTTGCAAGAAGCGCTGATGCCTTTAGTGTTTGCTGCCATCATGTGTCTCACGGTGTCATTCAGGTACCGGTGGAGTAAACTGCTCTTGTATTTGGAGGGAGGGGACGCGCCGTCATCGCTGTTGGCGGAGACGCGTTCGTTTTTCTCCAGCGCGCTTTTGTGGGACGTTGACCTGCCGAAGTTTGACTGGTGGCGAACGGACGTCTGCAGAGGACATTCTTCCTCTGCGGGAAAAGACAGAAAGCACAATTTTACCCTAAAGCTTGAATTTGAACGGGATCAAAATCTCGTCCAGGGGTTCTCAAAGTGGGGGGCGCAGATGGAACGAAACGTAGCACAGCATATTGTCCAATGCCGTAAATGCTTAACAAGGGTGGAAAAAGTGATTGGTTGAAGGTGGTGTAAAATAAATATCTGACAACAATATTGCAAAGGAAGTCGTTATTTTTAATTTCTTAGGTTAAGAAACTCTGCTGCATGGACTTTACTAAATACTTTTTAAGCTCCCGCGGTGGTACGCGAGCGCTCTCTAGTGGTACTCAAGGGAAAAATTCTATATATTTACATTTTCAACTGCATAAATCTGAACCATACCATGCAACTGGTCATATGTGTCAAACCTAAGGCCTGGGCCCCAAATGCGGCCCGCCAAGCCATTTTGTGTGGGCCGCGGGAGCTCGTTTCAATCCTGGCAACTGACATAAGTTGGCAATGCTAGCATAAAACGGACGTTTTTTTTGGGTTTGGGGGCCCGGAAATTTCCGTATGAACCGAAGGGGGAGAGAGAGTTTGAGAAATGTTAAAACTCTAATCCAAATGAGAAAACTGTGGCTCTCACCATCTGAGTCGGTGTCATCACTGCATACACTCAGCCTTTCAGCGTTGCCTTGGATGTATTTATTGTAAAGTTTGATCCTGAGGGCCCAGCTCAGATCAGGCTGCCTCACTGTGTTCTTCAGCCTCCGTCGGGCATTGGCGAACCAGTTGGAAACCTGCGCATACGCTGGTGGTTACAGACTATCACTGTCCTCGCATCTCAGAAGCCACTTTAGCTTAATGTTTTTTTTGTTTTTTTTTTTCTCTTACCTGTACGAGCGTCATATGTGAACCCAGAGCCAGCAGGACCTTCTCTGTCTTGGTGGGATAGGGATTGTTCCTGTGTTTGTAGAGCCAATGTTTCAGGGGTCGAGCCATGTCCTGAAGAACCTGCCGTTTGTGTCGAACTTTTACTCCGGTGAGCCGCGACCTGAAAGAGTCAGGAATTGACTCAAGTCCTAAAAGGAACTATTTTTTCACATAGGATGAGATAGACCAAAGGACACGATTTTAGTCCAGTGGCCGTGGGAGGCCACTGCAGGTCAGAGTGCAAAATATTAGTAACGTATTTTCTGGACTATAGGTCGCACCAGCGAGGATTGAGAAAAAAAAGGGCGACTTACGGGAGTAGCAGATACTGGCATGCAAGTCTACAGTGCCCTCTAGTGGATGTTAATGTGAAAATAACAAACATGTGAAATGATATATTTTAATATGTAAGTCGCACCTGAGTATAAGTCGCAAATCCAGCCAAAGGATAAAAAAAAGTGCGACTTACGGGAGTAGCAGATACTGGTACGCAACTCTACAGTGCCCTCTAGTGGCTGTTAATGTGAAAATAACAAACGTGAAATTATAAATTGTACTATAACCTAGTATAAGAGTATAAGTCGCACCAACCAAAAAATACATAATGAAGAAGAAAAACATATACAAGTCGCTCCGGAGTTAAAGTTGCACCAGTGCCCTCTAGTGGCTGTTAATGTGAAAATAACAAACGTGAAATTATAAATTGTATTATAACCTAATGAAATGTCAGTATTAGTAACGTATTTTCAGAGTATACGTCGCACCATTCAAAAAATGCATGTGTGAGTGTGAAAATAACAAACGTGAAATTTTATATTTGAATATATAGTAAGTCGTACCTGAGTATAAGTCACAAACCCAGCCAAAGGATGAAAAAAGTGCGACTTACAGGAATAGCACATACTGGTAGACAAGCCTAGAGTGCCCTCTAGTGGCTGTCAGTGTGAAAATGACAAACGTAAAATCTTATATTTTAATATATAACTCGCACCTGAGTAAGTTGCAAACTTATCAAGAAAAGTGCGACTCATAATCCGGAAAATACGGTCATTATTTTATTCAACGCTGCGCTGGAGGAATTGCTCTTATTTGTACTTTTGTTTTTTGTATTGTTTGAGGGATTGTTTAAAATAAAACTCAACAGTACAGCACTTGATATAACAGCTCTATCTCGTAAACTTAAGGCGCTTCATGAAGATTCGCAAACCGCCCCGAACTGCTACTCTGCTTCCGACACAGACAAACAGATCCATACCCGTATCTCCTGTAATTGACGGTAGAACCGTGGGCTCTGCTGTCCTGACAGAGCTTCAGCTTGGTGTCCCGTTGTCCTTCCGTCGCACCGCTCTGAGGCAGGTCGCGACAGTGCAGCCTGCTCTCCGCGGCAACTCTGTCCTCTTCCAGCTGAATCAGCCCCTCGGTCTTCATCACATTCCCGTCCGTTCCGTCTTTTCCACGTATGGTTTTCCTTCCGTCAACAGGTGCATCCGAAAACCTCCCGACTAAAACAGGCGCGGAACATACCCATCCTTTATTAGTCTCGCTGTACAAATATATTTAAAAAAAAAAAAACAAGGGTGGTCGTTTGAAAAAAAAAGAAAGAAAAAAAAATCCCTCTTCCATCCTTCTGCTCCACCGCTGCGACTCAGAGAAGGGAGGACATTGAGGATGACGAGTGTTTTGAGAGAATTTTTTTTCTCCAAGTTTTTTTTTTTTGGAAAGTTTTTTGGAAATGTAGTCTGGTGCAGTTGAGCTCTGTGAGATGAGTTCAAATAACCTGCTGCTCCCCCTGCTCATTGGCTCTGCCGCTGTCCAATCCAGTCACAGCAGTAGTAAACGTTGTACGAGTAAAACCCTCCGTGTTGTGCCCGTCTCCCACTCGAGGCTCTCATATTTTCTGCATGAAGGCGCATTATTCTCGTATTCTTGTGTGGTTTCGATCAAAGACGGTGTCAGCAAATAATAATAATAATAATAATAATACGCGTTTCTACCCAGGGATTGTGGAAACATGCGCGTGTAATTGCACCATCGCCGTAAACCAGAGGAACCACCGAGCGGTGCCCGCTTTTGACAGTAATTCCCGCTGAGGACAACACAAACAGTGGAAACTGGAGTTTAATATCTGCCCGTGTAATCCTCGGAGTGTGTCGAGCTGACAAATGTAGCTGGGGTTTTAAATCGACCGCTTCAGAAACAACAAAAAAAAATATATATATATATATATAACACTTTTGGATTTGTTCTGGATCTGAACATATTATTTCGCAATTGGAAAATTCTCTCACATTCTCTCTGTGTTAGAAACTCGCAGAAACAGTCCGTGGTCACGGGTCTCCTCTTTCGCGACGAACCAGACGGCGTTTGTGGATTTTCAACCAATACTGTAATAGATCTAAGTCGCAGTGAAAGTCAAAGTTCTGTCGACGGTGCCCTGCTGTAGAAGTTGGTGAGGAGTAAGGCACGACTCTGTCGGATGATGGGATGGATGGATGGATGGATAGATGGATAGATGGATGGATGGATGGATGAATAGATGGATAGATGGATGGATGGATAGATAGAAAGATGATGGATGGATGGATGGATGAATAGATGGATGGAT